AGGTGCTGCTGAACTGCAAAGCTGACATCCCAGTGACTCACCCTAGGCCACCCCGCCAATCCTTGCACCTCGCATGCCACCGCTCCCCTCGTCCCGCCACATGCCCGGCTCCCCTTCCCCCATCTCCAGGAGCAGTTATTTATCTGCCAGAGGGTGACAGGCGGCTGTGGCTGGTGTGTTGAGCCACCGTCCAGAGATCAGCTGGCGGCTGCCAAGCAAACAGCCTGAGCTAATCAGCAAAAGGTCATGCTGGCTCCCGGAGCCCCTGAATTTGAAGTCTTGCCTCACACGGGCAGGCTGGAAGAAACCTGGGACATTGAGTTAGTGGTTTGGTGACCAAGACAACTTCAAATCACTGCCCACAGCTCATTGCCCAGTTGACCAGCCTGCTCTTATGAGGCTGCAACTTCTAAAGATTGCCCAGCCCCAAGGGAAACCCATCCCCTGCCTCTGGGCTGAACAAACTTTCACAGCAGAGGCTCAGCCTCCAGCATTCAGAGGGGCCAGGCTTAACTACCCTGGCCCTACCCACTCTTCCTGCCCGCAGTGCAGGACTGGGCAGCATCCCCAGCAGAGCCGTCTGTTCACCGCCCCCCACACCCTCTCCGACTTCAAAACTACCGCCTTCCTCTAAATCCATTCACTTTTTAAAAACTTAAATACGTTTATTTAAAAGAGAAGCTTTATAGCACCACTACAAATGGAAAACAAGCCTCTCTTACCATAAATAGAATTCATAATCATAAAAGCAAATTCAGTGGAAACAAAACAATGTTATTAAATTCTAGTTGGATGTGATAGCTGGGGGGAGGCTCGGAGCCCAAGGCCGGCTATTGCTTTGTTAAAAAGGGAGAGCAGTAAGTGTGCAGAGGTGTTCCAGACTCGCCACCTCGATCTGAGACTTTCTTCTTCTTGTAATCAAGAGTATTAAAGTGACAGTAACTTTCTAATAAAATGGTTCAGTATCAGTTTTTGCTGTGTCAGCTAGGGACTGAATTTGGCTGTGCAGGACAAACCTGAACACTGTATGGTTTAACCTCACCTGGGGGTCATTTTTCTCATGCAAAGAGGGTGGCAGTGGGGCTGGTACACACCCTGAGGGGTTTGTCAATGGCCCAGGTTCCTTGTAGCTTCCTGCTCTGCTGCTTTGGGCATTTGTCCTCATGGCCCCAGAATGGCTGCTGCACCTGCAGCCATTGCATTTGCATCTCAGGCAGGAAACCAGGAAGTAGGGTAGAGGCGAAGGAGAAGGGACTACACCAGCTAAGTCTGTTCCTTGTCATTAGGAAGGTAGCAGCCAACACCTGAGCCATCTCTTGCCCACGGTGGTCACTGCTGCCTTTGGGTTGCTGCTCACTGCATGTTTTATTCATTTGCCAAGTAGTTGGTTGGTGCCTGCTAGTTGCCAGGCCATAGACCTTGTCCTGGTGGTATTCACAGGGTTGCATGCTGGCATTTATGAGATAAGCCACAGCCCATTCTGGGGCATCCTCCAGAGGCATCCCTTCCCTCAGCCAGGGTTCTTCCTCTTCCACCCTACACCTGGCTTCTGCTCCTCACAGGAGCCCAGCACAAGGGCAGCCCCTGCCTCCATCCTATCTCCCTCCACACACACCTGGGACTGCCCAAGCCCAGCCTGGACCGAGTCACCCCATGGGCTGCCCTGGATAGAAGAGAGCTTATCCTTTCCCCTCTCCAGCACCTGGGTCTCCTGCCCTTTCCCCCCCAGCAATCCGCCTCCTCTTGGAGGCAGGCCAGGCTGCAGGGATCAGGCTTCTGCTCCTAGATCTCCATTTGTCTTTTAATTTCCTCCTGTAATTTATATCCTGAGATTCCTGTAACTTAATTAGCAGACAGAGGGTGTGGCTGCAGATGCCCGGCCCCCTGCCTCTGGCCTCTCCCACTGGCAGGTCCCGAAGATCCCTCCTCCCCTTGGCCAGGGCTCCTGAATGCTGCCTCCCCACCTGCCTTTGAACTCTGTCCTCTGATCCCTGGTCTCTGACCTGCTCTTTGGCTCCTGGCGGGAGGGAACTTTCCCAGGCTCAGGTTTAACTGTGGGCACCATTGCTCACCAGCTGTGCATGTAGAGGCAAGTCCTGTAAGCTCTCTGTGCTCCTTCTCAGTGAGTCGGGGGCAAGGGTCTCTGAGTAAGTGAATGGGAAGCCAGGAGCCCTCTCAGCTTCCCCTGCTCCTCTTCCACCTGCTCCAGTCCCCTGCCCACCCGGAGGTCCTGCCTACCTGGAGGTCCTACCTACCCTGCAATCCAGCATTGGCTTGAGCTACCTCCAGGTTTCCCTCCAGGGTCATCATGCTTTGTGCTGTGGAGGTGCAGGCCCTGGGGGCTCACGCAGCATCTAGTGAGATGACTGCCTGGGTAAGGTCAGAAGCCGTCTTAGGACCCTGACATGTGCCTGGCGAGCCCTCTGGGCAGTTGCCACCAAGTCTGTCTCCCCCATCCTCCCTCCAGAGCCTCAGCTGCCTTCCTTGCTGCTGCTGGATGTGGGTGTGTGTCTGTGTGTGCACGCGTGTTTGCATACCCCAGGCTGGCCCAGCTACGTGCCTGCACACGTGTGATCCCCAGGACCCCCGCATGCCCACATTCTGCACACACAGGCGTATGCATCCCTGTGCATACATGTTGAGTGATGACCCCTGGGGGCTGCATGCCTGTTTTAGCCATTCCCTCCCCTGCAGACGCAGCCCCAGTGACTCACAGCCAGGGCTGCAGCCAGGCTCCCCCAGCCCCACCCGGGAAAACTGTGAATCCAGCAGCCAAAGTGGGTCAGTGAGTGTACGAGGGAACTGGAAGGCCTGGGGAGGAGGCCGCCACCAAGGCCTGGCTTGATGGCAGCCATGGAGGGTGAACGGGGAGGAAGGAGAGTTGGGGAGAAGAGGAGGATCTGCAGGGGCTGGGGTGCAGGCAGCCAGCATGGGGCATGGGAGCCAGAGGAGAATTAGCAGACAGGGCCATTGCTGTTTCATAGCAGTGATTTGATCTGAAGAGACATGGCCCAGAGCTCAAGGAGCTGCTTCTCTGCCAGAGCGTGCAGGAGGGAGGAGTGGGGGAAGGCATGGGAGGAGAAGGACATGTTTACTGAGCACCTTCTAGATGCAGTCTCTCCATAACACAACAGCCCTGAGCGATGGGCATCAATGATGCTGCCACGCTCAGGAAATAGAGGCAGACAGGGGCCATGCATGTGCCCAGAGCCGGAGTGCAGGAAAGCCACCCACGCTCCAATATCAGAGCCTTGCTGCTCTCTGTGTGGAGATCACAGATACCTAGAGCAGTCCGTGGCGCTCTCTGCCTGCCCTGGCTTATGCTGCTCCAGACATTGGAGCATCCTGGCCTGGCCACTTGCAGCATGGCCCCAAAATGCCATGAGCACCTCAGTGGACTGCAGTTCCAGACTCGTTCAGCTGATATGTTGAGACTCTGGGACACCCAGGAAGGGGCAGGTGGAGGCTGGCAGTGTGCCCTGTCTGTAATCACATGCTGCAGTCCTACTGTGTGCTCCACTCAGAGGAGGGTGCGGGGTAGCTGGAACTCGAGCTGTGCCTTTGGAAGTTCAGACCTGGCTGACAATGTGGTTCACCAGTCCTGACACTCCCAGAGAGGAACAGTGCACGCATGCAGAACTCAAGAGAATCAGACAGTCAGAGTGGCCTTCTAGGAAGGAAGGGTGTGTGGAACTTAGAAGGCCACAGCAGCTTTCAGGTGTGAGAAATGGCAGAAACAGTGGTGTCTGCACCGCGTGTGGCATGTGCAGAGTGTAGGGATGGCTGGGGTGGGGTTGTGGTGCCAGGGTGGGAAAAAGAAAATTGGGCATGTCAGGGACAGATTGCAGGGGAGGAGGAAGTTATATTCCTGCTCCTCCTCCCTTCCCCATCTGCCCATAGTACCTCCAGATTGTGCCAGGCTCCTCCCTCCCCTGTGTGTAATCTGCTCCTCTGAGTGAGAAGCCTCTCATCTGTATTAGGTAGGACAAGCAGTTGAAGAATGGCAGTTTAAATAACATAGAAGTTCATTTCTCTTTCACAAAGAGCAAGAATTCAGTGGTCCAGGGCTGGTAGAGTGGCTCTGTCATCATCACCTGTAGTTTCATTTCTGGGACCAAAGTGGCTGCTCCTGCTCCCACCATCACATCTGCATCCCAGCTGGCAAGGAGCATGCATGCCCATTCCTTATAAGGGAGTGGCTCACCATGGAACACTTCGACTCCACTCACGTTCCACTGACTAGAATGTGGTCCTAGCTGCAAGGGCAGCTGGAAATGTACTATTTAGGCAAGTCCAGCTCAAATTAGCAGTTTAATTAGTAAGGAGGAAGAGGAGGATAGGGATCAGCGCAAGGTTTTGGCCACTCATTCCTCTAGACATCCCACAGTGCCTTGTGGGAAGAAGGGAGAGTTGGCTGCCTTCAGGGGGCCTGGCTGGAGAATGGGAAGTAGTGCTGGGGGTGACAGACCCATCTATAGGGTCTCTCCTTGGTCCTGGCTGAAAGCCTTTCTTGCTAAAAGTTGAAACAGGAGGAGATCATTAGCACGCTTTGAATGGAAAGGGTACCCAGAGAGACAGTGACCATGTGATTTGGTGTCCAAACCAGAGCACTTCTGAGAGTACAAAGAGGTGGCATTTGTAGTGACATCGGGACAGTAGGGCAGACCAGGATGTGTGTGCAGTCACCTCATCTGGAGACCACTCCATCTGTGTTCTAGCTGGGGAAGTTGAGGTCCTGGGTCATACTAGAGTTAATGATGGAGCCACCCTAGGACTCCAGAAAGGCTCCCCACCCCCCCGGCCATATTGGTTCAGATTCCCTCTCGCCCATTGATTGGCTTATGGACCTCAGCTCTGACCTCTCTGGCATCCACCCTGGGTCGAAGTGTCTTAGACCTCTGCCCTCATTCCTCTTCCTGAGAATCTCACCTCCTCCGAGCTGCGCTTCAGGGCTTCTTAGGATGGGATGCACAAGATGCTGGCAGCTTCCTCTTTGGTTTTTTTTTTTTTTTTTTTTTTTTTTTTTTTTGCCCTCAAGAGCGTCTGGGAAACCAGCCTGGAGCTGTCCAGGGTGCTGACCACCTGCATAAGGTCTGGGGTTGAATGAGTGCCTCCATCTCCACCCCCAGGGATTACCAACAGAGGCCAACCCACCAACAGGACCGGCTCTGGGCTAGGCAGCATCCTCTAATTCCCACTTCTGCGGCCGGGGCCTTCTGTACACACCCACCCTTGGAGACTCCTGTGTCTTAGAGACAGCCGCATTGTTCACCAAGCCTCCCAGCCCCTGCAGTGCCCTCCCTCCCTCAGCCAATAGGAGGAGAAGCCGAGTTTGGATGGGTCCACAGACTCTGCTTCTGTGAGGACGCTGCCCTTTCCAGATCTGTTGGCAGACCTTTGGCATCTTCTTGAAAACCAAAGACACAACAGGGCCCAGAGGAATCTCCCCAAATGGCGGGGCTCAAAGCACTGGGATCAGGCCAGGAGCAAACGGCTACGAGGCGGGGGCCTCCTCCACATCACCTCTGCAAACCCCAGCCCCAGCCACCCATACTCCGTGTCCTGGGCTCCTCTTTCTCAGCCCAGAAATAAGACTCAGCTGACAGCATCCTGGCACGGTGTCCCTCGTGAGCCTGATGCTGCCTGGAGAGGTCCCAGCCAGACATCTTTCCTTTTAAACTCCACCCTCTGCCCATTTTCCCTGCCCCAGGGAAGCCAGTATCCTTACATTCAGGCCCAGCCTGGGTGGAGTCCAGGGCCTCTGCCCTTACTCCTGTGGGAAGACGAAGCCGGGGTGGGGGGTTGGAAGTCTCCACCATGGAACCCAGGCTTCCTCTGCCTACACTTGAGTTTTCCAGAGGCTTGCTGGCTCATGCCTGCTGGGAGGCCCATACAGCTGCTGGAAAGGGGCAGCCAGCCATGCCCCAGCAAGCCTCAGGAATGGCACCCCCCACACCCCAGCCTCCACCCAGGCACAGCAGAGAACACCAAAGCCATCAGCCAGGAAACCAGCGTGCAGGTTTGTGGCATGAATGAATGGAAAGCCGCCTTCAATAACCCGGCCCCATCTCACCAGGCAGGTGGTAGACCAGATGGCTCTTTGCGCCAGCTTGTGTGCTAAGAACCTCAGCAGGTTGTGATGCCTTTCAGAGGTCTTCAGAGCGCCTTCCTATTCCAGCATATCTCGGGCCCTGGAGACCACCTCTCCCCTTCCTCCCCCCAGCCTCACTGCCCCACCTAGTACTTGGATCTCTTCCACAGAGTACATTCCTACTTTCATTATGTAATGTAGGACATCACTGTGTTATTGTCTGAGGTAACAACTGCTAAATACTTAACCATGAACTCAAACTCAGACCTTGCACACTCCGATGACTGTATGGCCTCTGGTACAGAGGCAGCCCCACCCCCATCCTGCCTGGGCCCAGGTCCCAGTGTGTTCCTTACCACCGTGTTCCTTGCTCTCTCTCTGTGCCTCAGTTTCCTCTTCTGGAAAACGAGAATGATCAGAAAACCCTCCGCTTCATAGTGCTTCTATGTGTTTAATAACATGTTTAAATAAACCTGTACCAGCACTTGCAAAATTAAACATTGGATAAAAGCTGTCTGGCATGACTACAATGAATTCTCTCATCCTTGAGGTGGCTGAGAGGCACAGAGAGGTTTAGCAACTTGTACTGGATGAGAGAGAGCCAGGGGGAGGCAGTTATATGGCTGATCACTCACTCACCCTCCTCCTGGCCGCCCAACCAGGCCTGATGTTTTCAGGGAGGTACGGGGGTGTCACCTTGGAGAGGATCAGGAGAACCAGGCCCTTGTCCTGGTTCTGCCGTGCTCTCACTGTGTGACTCAGGGAAGCTCCCTTTTCCTCTCAGGGCCTACGTGTGTGAGTGCAAGCTCTCAGGGGGCAGAGGCCAAAGCTGGGAGGTTCTCTTGATTTGATTCCAGGCCCACTGGAAGGCACACACAAGGCAGCAAACCTGCTGGACAGCGCAGCCCATCTGCCCCGTGCGACGCCCTAGTGTGGTGCCTGGCACGTAGTAGGTGCTTTAAACTCCTTGTTGGCTGGATGAAGAACAGCTGGGGCCTTAAAGCCATCGGCCTGTGAGATGAAGGTTCAACTTCTCGTGGGTACCATCTGCAAAGCATTGAGTTATGCACCTGCCAAGCCCACCAAGCTCAGCCCATTAGGTGTTTATTCGGTGCCCAGAGGAAGCCAGGCCCATCAGGTTCGAAGAGGGTGTTCTGAGGGAGAGACTGCCCCAAAACCATGGGTCACCATCTGTTGTCCAGGAGTTTGTGAAGCCAGTCAGTTCCTCTGCCCATGACACAGGCAGGTCCTAGAAGGGAATGAGAAGACCCAAGCTCAAGTCTCCCTCTGTCCGCGTCCGCTGTGATTCTGGGGCATTCCCTTCCCCTCTCTGGTCTTTAGTGATTCCATCTGAGCTTGTGTGTAACTCACCACTTACAGCTCCAGGAGCGTTCTGGGGTGGGTACATCCCATCCTTTACTACAGCAGGTGTGAAATGGACAGACTTTTGCCCAGGCCTGAGAATGCTGAGCTGATCAGGGGTTCAGCTGGCCCAGGCCTGGTCCTTGGGACTAGAGAAACAATGCTTAGACCAGAAAGCTGTTCCAGCTGGAGGAGGGGGCACGTGATCAAATACAGGTGCTTGGCCCTACCTCGACTTACGAAATCAGGACCCCAGAGTTATGTCTTGGAAACCTCTTTTTTTAAAACTCATGAGTGATTCTGAGCTATCCCAATTTAGGAGCCACTTCTTCTTTTTTTTTTTTTTTGAGACAGCTTTGCTCTTGTTGCCCAGGCTGGAGCGCAGTGGCGCACTCTCAGCTCACCGCAACCTCTGCCTCCCAGGTTCAAGCAATTCCCCTGCCTCAGCCTTCGAAGTATGCGCCACCACGCCCGGCTAATTTTGTATTTTTAGTAGGGACAGGGTTTTTCCATGTTGGTCAGGCTAGTCTCAAACTCCCGACCTCAGGTGATCTGCCTACCTTGCCTCCCCAAGTGCTGGGATTACAGGCATGAGCCATCACCCAACCTTTTATTTTTATTTTTATTTTTATTGAGATGGAGTCTCTGTCACCCAGGCTGGAGTGCAGTGGCGCAATCTTGGCTCACTTCAACCTCCACCTCCCAGGTTCAAGCAATTCTCCTGCCTCAGCCTCCTGAGTAGCTGGGATTACAGGTGCCCACCATTATGCCCAGTTTTGTATTTTTAGTACACATGTATTTTCACCATGTCAACCAGGCTAGTCTCGAACTACTGACCTCAAATGGTCCACCTGCCTCGGCCTCCCAAAATGCTGGGATTACAGGCTTGAGCCACTGCACCAGGCCAGGAACCACTTTTTTAGTCCGCCTCCCACCCCATTCCTTAAGTGCCAGCTCTCGTGTCCTGCCTCTCCTTGTATACCTCCACTGACAGGGAGCTCAGTGTTACATGGCAGCCCATTGCTTTCCAAAACATTTTAAAATTGATTATAAAATATTTAAGAAGTCTCAAATATTTAAGATATCCCTTATAAATATTTCACTAGTTATAAAATATTTAATACAATCAATGATATAAGGAATAATATAATAAATACCTAAATGTCCACTTCCTTTCCAGCTTAATCCTGGTACACTGAAAGCTTCCCCTTTGAGATCCTATATCCCTTTTTGTTTTTAAAAAATATTTTGGCTGGGCATGGTGCCTCATGCCTGTAATCTCAGCACTTTGGGAGGCCGAGGTGGGCAAATTACATGAGGTCAGGAGTTCAAGACCAGTCTGGCCAACATGGTGAAATCCCATTTCTACTAAAAATACAAAATTAGCCAGGTGTGGTGGTGGGTGCCTGTAATCCCGGCTACTCGGGAGGCTGGGGCAGGAGAATTGCTTGAATCTGGGAGTTGGAGGTTGCAGTGAGCTGAGATCATGCCACTGCACTCCAGCCTGGGAGACAGGAGTGAAACTCTCAAAAGCTTTTTTTTCTTGGTGGTCAAATATACATAAAATTCACCACCTCATGGTGAATTTTTAGCCTGCAGTTCAGTTCAGTGGTGTTCAGTGTATTCATGGAAGTGTTGTGTGACAGATCTCTTATGGTGACACATTTTTTACACTTTCACCTTATTTGTATGAACACATATGTAATACGCTTTTGCAAGCTCTGAAACTTTGGATATGGGGTGTGATACAGCAGGTGTCTTGGACAGCTTGCTTGTTGGCTGAGAAGTGTATTTGTGAGTGGGATCTACTCTGTGCACATGGCTCTGTGGTTCCTTTTTCACTGCTGCATAGTACACTGCTCCACCAGACCCATGACTCACAAGGTTCTAGTCCACTCTCTCATGAACATCTGGTGTCCATCCTGTCACCGTTATAAACAATGGTGTTATGAACATCTTTGGGCGGCTCCCCCAGCTTCTCCAGGGCTATGCCCAGGCCTGGGGTATGGACTCTTGGGCCGAGAGCACCTTTGTCTTGAAGAGAGGCTGCCTAGTTGTTTTCTCACACTGCATACTGGGTCCCACTCTCATTGTCAGGCATGGAGAAGTCTCTGGGAGAATGAGGGGAGGCCACATGCAGGGCCTGTCCTGGTTGGGGAGCTTTCTGGCATAGGCAGCTCTGTAAGGTGCAGTGCACCTGACGCCCCTTGCCTCAGCCAGACCCCTGTCTTCTCCCACTTTTTTTTGGATGAGCTGATGTTGTGTCCCCTCCCATTGGGGTCCCTTAGTCACCTGAGGACCCGTAAGCCACATGGGATGTGATTAGTCGCAGGGGCTCTGGGGCCAGGCTCTCTTGGCTTGAGCCCCAGACCCACCTCTTAGTTGCCATGGGAACTCAGGCAAGTTCATGAACATGTCTGTAGAATGGATAACAGCACAGATGACAAAGCGTTACCATAAGTATCCAACATGTTAACATATGCAGAGTTTCTAGTACAGTGTCTGGTGCATGGTGGACGCAATGTCAGCATGAGCTTGTTTTTTTTTTGAGATGGAGTTTTGCTCCTGTCGTCCTGGCTGGAGTGCAGTGGTGCAATCTCGGCTCATTGCAACCTCCACCTCCCAGATTCAAGCGATTCTCCTGCCTCAGCCTCCTGAGGCAGCTAGGATCACAGGCACCCACCACCACACCTGGCTAATTTTCATACTTTTAGTAGAGACATGTTTTCGCCATGTTGGCCAGGCTGGTCTTGAACTTCAGACCTCAGGTGATCTTCCCTCCTCGGCCTCCCAAAGTGCATGTGTACAGCCTGCATGAGCTTTTAGGATCTCCCTGGAGGTCTGGAACCAAACCCTTTGTCATGGCTAAGCAGTGCTGGACAGAACCAGATCACCTCCTCTATTCTATCTAACATACCTCTATTAAGTCAGCCCGTGTTGCCTTCTCAGTTGGCTACATTTCCCTGGAATTTGCTCTTGGTCTTTCTGTTCCTGAGGTGATGTGTGGCCCTGCCTCCCTGCTGGCTGGCTTCATGGGTGTGAGTTTTGCCCAGTGTGACTTGTGGAGATGAATTTGACCCTCAGGAGGGAAGGCTTGGGTCTTGGTCCCGGCCCTCCTGCAAACTCAAATTTCATCCAAACTGCTGTTCACAGGCAGAACTGGGTGAAGACAGAGCTCGGGACCCCCAAACGGACTCCCCTTGGGGAACCCTGGCCCTTTGAGGGACTCAAGCATAAGTGATCACAGAGCACAGCCTTCCCAGAGGCTGGGCTCCCCTGAACACAACTCCCCCAGGGTCTGTCACAGGGGCCGGGTGTGTCTCACCCGATTCTTCTTGGTGGACCCGCAGGTTCACGGCCACTGCTGCTCCTTCCTCCAGGTCAGGGTTACCTGTGCCTTGTACCCACCTCCCTCCAGCACCCCCACACCCCTTTTGGTCCACATCAGCCTCTGCCAAGTTCCAAGTGCATCATCTCCTTTGTCTCCTTACCTCACAGTGGACACTGCCCCTGCCCCAACATCAGGTGCCAACCCCCTCCCCAGCATGCCAGGCGAGGCCCCTATGGGGAGGGGTGCAGCTCAGGAGGCAGAACAAGGTGTCAAAGTGCAGCCCTGCACCCCAGAGGGCCCAGCCCTGTACCCCAGAGGGCCCTACCCTGTACCCTGGAGGGCAGTTCTGTCCCTGAGTAAGGCTGGGCTAAGGATCAAAGAGGGGTCTCCCAGAAGTAGGGCAGAGGCTAGGATTAGGGGGTGGGAGCAGGTGACCTTGACACCCCAAAACCCAGTGGGTACAGGCAGTTTGGCTGGCAGCAGGGGCCTGGCACTGTGTTTAGGGAAGAAGGAACCCAGGGAATAAGCTGATGACTCCCAGACAAAGGCAACCGGGACAGAATCCCACCCACAGCCATCACCGGGGCTCCTGGCAGCTGGCAGGGTCCCTGGCATGTGGGGAGGATAAAAAGAGACAGTGGGACAGGACAGGGCTCGGCGAGGCCAGTGACAGCCTCGTGTCTGCAGGTTGGTGCAGCTAGACAGAGGGAGGGAGGCAGGCGTGGGGGGGTGTGGTATGAGCAGAACGCAGGCCTCCCAGCAGACCGGGCTGCGGTCTCATTAATGAAGTCAACCCTGAAAGGGCTCGCTCGCACCCCAGCTGGGTGCTTTCCAGCGGTGTCAGCTTCACCGAAAATGGAGTGTCCTCTGGCTGCCCCAGCTGTCAGACGCTTGCCTGCAATGAAGCAGCGATGAGATGCTTGTGTGTGCAATATGTGTGTGTGTCCGTGTGTGCGTGTCAGGAAAGGGCGGGGAGGGGCCAGGGTAGACCCATGGCTGGAGGGGTCAGAGGCTGAGAACACACCCATACATGTGCACACACACAGTGACGTTCACACAGAAGTCACACTCAGACACACACAATTCACACACAAAAATCACATAAAATACACACAGAAATCACACACAAATATACAAAACAATACACTCACACAAAAATCACACACAAATACACTCAGAAAAATCGCAAACACAACACTCCCATACAATCACACACAGTATACACAGAAATCACACACACATACACACAAAAATCACACTCACAAATACTTGCACAAAAATCACTCATAAATACAAAAATCACACACACACAGTATACACTTGCACAAAAATCACACAATACACTCCCTCCGGGAAATCACACTAACACTCAGGGAAATACACCCTTGCACAAAAATTACACTCACAAATACACAAAAATCACGGTCACACACGGATACACACTCGCACAAAAATCACAAACAATACACTCGTACAAAAATCACACACAAATACACACTCGCACACAAATCACACACAAATACACACTCCCACACAATCACACACAATACATACTCGTGCAAAAATCACACAAATACACACTTCCATACAATCACACACACAGTTATACAAAATCACACACAGACATACACACACTGTTCTCTCCCAGGTCCTAGCAGGTCTCCAGCTGGAGAATGCACAGCTCCCAGGTTCCCATCCTCCATGGGCCTGACCCCTCCTTGTGCCGTGGCCACTGCACCTAAGCTCTGTCCTGGCCACTGTGCTGGAATGGGGACGGGGTCACTGGGCACCCAGGCCGAGAGCTGCAGCCCTGCCTGCACAGGGCCTCTCTTCTGGGGCACCGTCTCTTCTTCCTCACCTTGGCCCTTTGAAGCCTAAATGAGAAGATCTATTTATAGCAGTTAGCATATGGACCCTGCCGAATGTGCCCGCTCAGACATACGCTGGCGACACGCACAGCCCGACACTGTGCCAAGTCCCTCCCCAGGGCCCAGCTAGCCCAGCTTCCCCGAGGCCTCACGTTCACCTGCCTGTGCTCTCCAGGGTCCCTGGATCCCCTGGGGTGAGTCAGCAGCTGTGGAGGGGACCCGGGCCTCCAGGGAGAACTAGCCAGCCACTCACTTCTAGCCCAGGCTATGTCCAGGGCGGGTCTCCAAGTCCCTTCCTTCTCGCCTGCTCACCTGGGTACAGACAGGTGGGTAGGTAGGAGGTGACAACCAGAGGCAGGGTGAGGGTGTCACCCCGAGAAGAGGGGATGGGCCATTATCCCAGCCTCAGGTGAGACATGAGCCCAGCTGTTAGTAGGGCCCAAAGGCTGGGATACCCCCTCCACCAGAACTCTCCCTTGCACTCCCCAGGTTCTTCCACAGGGGATCCATGGCCTCTGAGACAGGAACCAGGCTGGGTTCTTCCCATGTGTCCTTTTATTTAGTCATCCCAGGGTCATTTTACAGATGAAAAGAATGAAGCCCAGAGTGGGTGGGCCACTTGCCCGGGGGCACACAGCAACAAGCCACAGGATTGGTGTCCAGCATGGGGTTGGGCTGTAGGATTCCATCACTCTTGATCTCTTCAGAGCCTCTGTGATCTGTGCAGACAGCAACCCTATGCTATCCATCTTGGTCTCCCACCCCTAAGCACTCAGTAAATACTGAATGAATGAATGATTGCAGGAATGAAGGATGAATGAGAATGGGAAGAGGGTGGAGATGGCAGGTGTGAATTCCCAAGCTTTAGCCAGGCCTCTCCACCATGCAGCCTTGCTCTTCTCCCTGGGGTAGCTAGAAATGATGAGACAAAGTCTTTTATTCTGGAGGGGGTATCTCCTGAAGCTCAGATATTTCCAGAGGCTAGGAAACTAGGGCTGAATCCTCCCTTTTCTCTTTTCCATAGGAGTAGGGAGGAGAGTAAGTCTTGGGACTTGAAGTAGTGGGATGACCCTATGGTCAGTCCTGAGCTGCCCCAGAGAAATGGCGCCAGGCTGTTCCCCAGCCCCACTCAAGGGGCTTCCTTTCATTTCCTCATTCAACTTGAGGACTCCACTCCCTTCCCAGAATCTGCCTGGAAGCTTTGGCCTTTTCCAGTAGTCTTTTTGGTCACCCAGGGTGGTGTGCATTGGTGCGATCATGGGTCACTGTAGCCTCCGCCTCCTGGACCTAAGGAATCCTCCTGCCTCAGCCTCCGAAGCAACTGGGACTACAGGCATGTGTCACCATGCCCAGCGGATTTATTTTTTGCAGAGATGGGGTCTTGCTTTGTTCCCTGGGCTGGTCTTGAACTCCTGGACTCAAGCAGTCCTCCCACCTTGCCCTCCCAAAGCCCTGGGATTATAGGTGTGGGCCCACTGTGCATCACCTCCACTAGTCCTTATTTCCAGCCTGTTGGACTTGTGAACACCCAGGGAATGGGCCTTCTCTCCACCCTGTGTGCAGGGGAGGGGTTTGAGAGAGGCCGAGAGGTCCAAGCACTGCCCCTTTGTAGGGGCTGTATTCGGTTCAGAGCCATTGAGAGGCAGGGCTGGACTTGGGTCTCAGGCCTTCCTGCTCCACCCAGGGACCTCTCTTTCTGCCTCTCTTGCTCTAGGTTGTGAGGACAGGCTTTCCCTTAGGATGCCAAACAGGGGTGAGAACAGGAGGTCTCCCCCAGGACCTGGGAGTGACCCCTGCTCCTCAACCCCTGCCCACCCCCTTCCCCGAGGCTCACTGACTAACCAGGGGCAGCCTCTTTCAGTCCAACCCCATTCTTCAGCCTTTCAGCTGTAATTAATGTTTCCTGTGTTATTAGAGAGATTCTTGACCGGGTCCGAGACGGAGGGTTTGCAGAGCTCGCTGGGCCAGCAGAAGCCAGCTGCCAACAGGCACCCAGTCCTCCTCACTCAGGGTCCCGGCCACCTTCCCTCCCAGAAAGCAACTCACCTTCCCTCCCAACACTCAGGGTCCCCTGGTTTGGGGGCACCTCCTGGGCTTTGTTTGGCCCCCCCCCACCTTTCCTTCTGTCCCCGCAAATCCCACCGACGGCTTTGCAGACCACTTCATGCCCCCAGCAGCACGCAGCATGTGCATTTTCTCACGTCCCCCCTCCAGGAACCCACAGGGTAATAACAGTATTCTCAGTTTTCAGAAGAGAGAAAACAGAGGCTGGGAAAGTTCCAGTGTTTTGTGAGCATTGGAGACAGAGTGTGAGGATCCAGCCCCACCTGGGTTCAGCTCTGTCGGGAAGGGGGTTTTCACTCTAGCTACTCTGTGTGCCCAATGTGTTCACAAACACCACCACATCTCACTCGCATGATGGTCCTGTTAGCGGCTATCAATGGCCCCATTTGTCAGAAAGGTAAATCAAGGCTCAGAGGTTAAGAACATTCTATAAATCACCCAGCTGGGGAGCGGCTGGCTGCTCAGGAGGCAAACTCAGTTTAAAGCCCAGCTCCAGCTGGGCGCGATGACTCATGCCTATAATCCCAACACTTTGGGAGGCCAAGGCAGGCGGATCATGAGGTCGAGATCAAGACCATCCTAGCCAACATGGTGAAACCCTGTCTCTACTAAAATACAAAAATTAGCTGGCCATGGTGGCGCGCACATGTAGTCCCAGCTACTTGGGAGGCTGAGGCAGGAGAATTGCTTGAAGCCAGGAGGCAGAGGTTGCAGTGAGCCAAGATTGCGCCACTGTACTCTAGCCTGGAGCCTGATGAAAGAGTGAGGTGCTGTCTCCAAAAAAAAAAAAAAAAAAAAAAAGTCTAGCTCCTTCTGCCCAGTGGAACTGGTGTTACCCACCTCCCCTGGCTCTCATACCACACAGAGCCCCTCTGCTCAACTCACCGCCAAGAGCCCTCCAATCCCTCCCTCCCTCCCTCCCTCCCTCCCTCCCTCCCTCCCTCCCTCCCTCCCTCCCTCCTTCCTTCCTTCCTTCCTTCCTTCCTTCCTTCCTTCCTTCCTTCCTTCCTTCCTTCCTTCCTTCCTTCCGTCCTCCCTTCCTCCCTTCCTCCCTTCCTCCCTTCCTCCCTTCCTTGCTCTGTTGCCCAGGCTGGAGTGCAATGGTACAATCTCAACTCACTGCAACCTCCACCTCCCAGGTTCAAGCAATTCTCCTGCCTCAGCCTCCTAAGTAGCTGGGACTACAGGTTCCTGCCACCACAACCA